GTTCTTCGCCATTTTCGGCCTCTGGGGGCCCTTCTGAGCCCCGAGACTGGTCAAGAGACGACTCGGGATAAGAAGGCAATCCCAGGGAATGGATCGAGACCTTTTGGGATCGACGTTATGAAAAAGTCATGACGTCCAGGGCCTGGGACGGGGCCCAAGCAGTTGGAGGCGAAGGCTCGCGCCGCATCGCCGATGCGTCGCTGGGGCTTCCCAAGAGGCCCCTGAGGTCGGCCCAAGATGGCCCTGGTGCCAGCTCCTGCAGGAAGCAACCCTCCGGCCTGCGGGCCGCAGCCCCTGACCCGAAGCGGGGGGAAGCATGCCTGCGGCGGCCGTTCCCGGCTGCCTTCGCGCTGCCAGGGCGGCGGGCGCGTGCAAGGTCACGGCGCAGTGCGGGCAGGAGGAGGAGGAGCAGGAGGGCGCCGAGGTGAGGCCAGATCGGGGGCGGCCAAAATCTGGGCTTCGCGCCGCATCGGCAATGGATCGCCGATGCGGCTCGACGTGGAGCCCGATTTTCTCCGCGCTGGCGTTGCCGATGCACCGCCGACTTCGCCGGTGCATCGCCAGTGCATCGCCGATGTATTGGCGGTGTGGCTGTATCTCTTCAACCAATCTACTCCGACCCCATCTAGGAGGCCTCTAAGACCAGGGGCGGCCAAGAGGGGGATGATGACAAGGGGGGTGCACATCATGGCCAGGGCCATGATATCTCCCCAGATTGTGAAGGCGGTGCTGCCGACCCTGAAAGACATCGACGACGAACAGGAGGGGAAGGAGGAGGAGAAGGAGGAGGAGGAGAAACAGGAGGAGGCGGAGATCAGGAGGAGGAGAAGGAGAAGGAGGAGGAAAAGGACTCCCCCCTCACCCCCCTGGGGAGGAGGACTGGAGGAGGACAGGCGTGGGAGAGGGGAGGGGAGGGGAGGAGGAGGACCCCCAGGGACGGATGCGTACCTGACTCCCCTCCCCCCATGGGACTCCTCCCCACCTGGGGAGGAGGACCCTAGGAGGACCGGCGCGCCCCTTTTTGAAAGACTGGGACTTTGTTGGGTTTGGCCGGGGAGAAAGACGGAAGAGCGGATGATGTCTCGGCCCACGGCTGCAATTTCCGCGGGTGCGCCCATACAGTGGAGGCCCATGCCAAGAAACACCTTGCTTGCCTCCAGGGTGCTCTGGGTTTCTTGGGCTTCGATTGTGTTCCCGTGGAAAGCGTGACGCTCCCACACCAGAAGGCAAGGGACGTGCTCATGGGAGCCCTAGCATTGCAGCCGTGAAGTCTCGTCGGGCGAGCCCAGGACCGGGACAAAAATCGCTCCGGGAGCGTTCCGCCGCGCCTGCAGAGCGTGACAGAGAGCGCTTTGGAGCGGCCGCGGCGCTCGATACATGCATCCTCTGATGGTCCTGTTCTCCACCACCACCGCCACAAGGTGGAGGGTGGAGGGGGTCCTCCTCCCCATCTTATTCCTCCTCCTTCTCATCCTCCACCTCCTTCCCCCCTCCAACTTATGGTGGTGGCGGTGGAAAACAGGCCCATCATCCTCTAGAGCCGCCGGATTTCGGAGATCCCCGATTTGTCCCGGCCCGACTCTGTCCCAAGCCTGGCTCGTCCTGTCTGGGGGTTCCGGCGCGCCCTTGTGCCCGAGGGAGGGGGGGCGCGGCCGAGAGCTTGTGTGAGCCGTCGTGCACCGGGGCCCGAGTTCTGCGGGCAGGAGGAGAAGGAGGTGGGATGTCTCTGACGCTACGGTAGGTCAGTATCGTTTATCCAGTCCCCATCCCCATCCCCTTCGAGACCCCCACCAAATTACCCGCCCAGTTGGGGATAGACCCCCCCTCGAATCCCGAAGGGGACGGCCTGTATCCCCATCTAGGGGGGTAAATCGGCCAGTGGGGCCCAGGCCACGCTGCTGGGGATGGGGATCGGATAAACGATACTCAGTAGGTGCGCGTCGTGTCGACCGGCGGCGACCCCGCCGCCGGCGTTCAACGTTGAGCGCCGCTGGCAACCCAGAGTCGGTCGATGCTGAACGCTCTGACGTTTCGCAAACGGCCGCTCGTTCAAGGTTTGAGGATGCCCGCGGCGTCGGGAACCAACGCCGAAGTCGGCAAGACACGAACCTGCCGACACAAGAGTCGGTGCAACGTCAAGAAAGGTTTGGGGTTCAGGCGCGCCAGCACCCAAGGGAGGAGGGTAGGCAGGTGAGGCCGACAGATGAGTTGATCAGAGCTCCGAGTTCATGAGCTGACAACTGGCACCCACACCTATGGGGTGGAATTCCGAGGGGGGGAAGTCCGAGAGGGGGGGGACGTGGGTGTGTGTCATCGGATGGGGGCCCAGGCGCGGACGAGGGCCCCCTCTGGGCCCTACCACCCGCACCCCTGCTTGTAGCGCACTCGGCTCCTTGCCCTTCCCCGCTCCTCCTCCCTATCGGTTCGAGTGTGTGCACGCGTGGCCTGAGCGGGCCCAGCCTCCCGTCTCCCTCCTGCCCGCGCCGGGCGTCCTCCTCCCTCCCCCGCGCATTGCGGCCTAATTGTTTCATTCGCGCTCTGCGTGCCCCGCGCAGTCACTCTGCCCAGCCGCCGATGCAAAAGTGTGTGTGTGTGTGCGCGCGTTGCCCTCTCGTCGCGAGGGGGGGAAGCGAGCTGGTGGGTGTCTTGGGCATGAGTCAGGACGGGAAAAAACACACAGACACAATTAAACGTCGATCCCCCGGGAAATATGGGAAACTATGGGAAGTGGTGGGGAAGACGAAAACTTAGAAAATATGAGAAAATATAGGGGAATCCTTTTATTTGTGTGTGTATTCATTTGTGTGTCCCAAGGCCCCTTCAATGAGGGACGGTCGGGGGCAAAGCCAGGGGGGGGACCGGCCCAGGGGCGGCGCTCGAGGTCCTCTTGGACGCTCTCGGCGGTTGTCGGCGGCTTTCCAGCCTCGGGGTGCACTCAAGCAGCTGCGCTTAAGTCGGGCGGCGCGTGCCCGTCTACAGGAGAAAGATTCGAAACATGTTTTAAAAATAGTCTGGGAGGGATTTTTACCATTTTTGACCACCTTTGAGTATGTTTGGACTATTTTTCATTTGTCCATCAAAATTCCCCTTTAGGAGGAAATGCCCGACCTAAAGCTGCGCCTCGCTGACGGCGTTGCAGGGGTGCGCGGATCGTCCCGAATGGCTGCCGGAGGCCAGAGTTTTGGCCCGAGGACGACCATCGACGGGGATAGGCTCAGCGAGCCTGCATCGACGGCCCCCCATCGCCCACTCATCGCCAGCAGGGGCCTGATAGCCCGCCCCGCCCAGGAACGAGCGGTCTCGCTACTCAGGATTTCGTAAGAAGGGGGGGGGGGGTCACATTTGGGGGGGGGATCTCATTTGGGCTGTCTTGGAGGGCTCCAGAGTCCGCCCCCGTCGGGTCCCCCCCGCGGAGAGGGGCACAACAGGATCGCGCGGCCGTCGGCGCGCCGGCGACGCCGGCGAAGGGGCGCTCCCAGGGGCAAGGATATAGGGGGGGACAAGGCAGAAGGGGCTGCGTCCACGGCCTCGAGGGCGACTTCTTCCAGCTGCTCTCCTTCTGCATTGCCTCCTGCTCTTACGGCACCGTGCCGTGAGTAGGCGGCGCCAGGGGGTAGTCCGTCGCGCGCCCGCGTGCGCGGCGGGAGACATTCCTGAGGCGGTGCGCTCCTCCTCCTCCTCCTCCTCCTCCTCCTCCTCCTCCTCCTCCTTCCTCCTCCTCTTTTCCTCCTCCTCCTCCTCCTCCTCCTCCTCCTCCTCCTCCTCCTCCTCTTCCTCCTCCTCCTCCTCCTCCTCCTCCTGGGCAAAGGCTCGAGGTTCGAGGCTCGGGGCCTTCGGGCGCTCTCGTCGGCCCCCAGCGTTTCTCCAGCCTCGGGACGCTTTCCAGCAGGGGATAAGCATAGGGGGGGACGCATCGACCCCCAATCGCCCACTGATCGCCGATATGGGCCCGAGAGCCCCAGCCTCCCCAGGAAGGTGCGGATGCACTGTCGGGGGCCGATTCCAGGTCGATGCATTCCCCCCTATGCCAGTCCCCCTATCGTTTCCCCCCCACGTTCAAGGCTGAAGTCTGTGACGTGGAAGCACCGAAGGACACGGCGACGCCGTCGGACCCGACGGAGTTCAGCCTCGAACGATCGGCGCCGCGATCGGTTCAAGCTGGAACGATCGACGCGGCATCAGGAACCCTTTACGCGCGCCGACGTCACAGGGTTGGGCGCAGACGGGGGTCGGCCGCTCCCCTCTGGCCAGCCTCGGTGTGGGGGGGGGGCGCGTGTGGCCGCTCCGGACGAGGCTTCGCTCCTCGAGGCATCGCGGGAGCGGCCTCTTCTCCGGCGGGGCTGCGCGAGCGATGCGGCGCCAGGAGAGTTGCTGCGCGCGCCGGCGCCGCGCGAGCCCGCCGTGCTGGTAGAGAAGTGGGTCCCGGGCCCCGGGGCGCGCGCTCCCCCCAGGGCGAGGCCCGAGGCGCGCCGTCCTCCCTGACCAGGCTTTCGGTCACGTTCGCAGGGCTGCCTCGCGACGAGCCTGCCAATAGCCAGCACGCTTGGCGAGGCGGGTTGTGCGTATTGTCGCGGTCCGCCCCCATCTCTTGCTTTTCCCCCCCCCCAAAAAAAAACCCTGGGGCGCTCCCCTCCCCCCGGACCAGCCTGTCACTCGGAGTGGTTCTGTGGACCGTCCCAGGGCGGTGAGAGAGCGGCGGCACACAGTCCCAGGGCTATGGCTTCTCCCGCCGATCACGGCCAGCAAGTGGTCGGGGTGCCCGTGGGTTCTGCTTGCCCGCCCGCGAAAGACGTCCCAGTAACCCTCGTTGGTGGGGAGGCGGGCGTTAGTTTACGTCGGGCGCGTCCCTCTACAGGAGGAAAATTCAAAAATAGCCACAAAATAGTCTGGGGACGACTTTTTGACACTTTGGGTTTTTCTTTCTATCCTTCACTTTTCGTCCACAATCCGCCTGTACGAGGACATGCCCGACCTGAACGTTGGTGGGGAGCCCGCGCCAGGTGGCTCTGGCGGCGGCTCCGGCGGCTCTGGCGGCTCTGGCAAGATGCCGACGCCGGCGCCAACGAACGCGACACACCCCGCATCTGAGAAG